GGTTGAAATGTAAATTTGTAAAACCAATGATATAAGCTTATAAATTAGTGTTTGACTTAAGCATTCCAAAAAAACATTCCAATCAAACGTGTATGCGGAAATCGTTTTTTTTTTCACGCGAGAGCTTAACATTCATTCCCACACATCTTTACAGGTGAGTCCTTTTTCTAAATTTTTATACGCAAGTACATACATACATATGTATATGCAGGGTAGTGGTGGGAAACTATCGATATCTACTATTGATGGTTTTTTTTACTATCGATAGTTTTGCAAAACTATTGAGTATTTTCACTATCGAAAATTTTCCAAATTTTAAGGCACCATAATGGTGAATGGGCATTTATATAAAGCGGCAATACTCTTAAATAAAAGAACTAGTAAGCCCGGGCAGACGTTGTCCTGCTACACACCGATCCATAGGCAGGTTACATGCATCGTAGATATTATGGGTCTTCACACCGAAGCTTGGTATTCGGTAACTCGGTGTTCGGTAACTATTATATATCATCGATCACTAAGCAAAGTCAGAAAAGTATCCGAAAATATTGTCTTTCATCTTTTCAGATGGCACTAAACAAAGCCATCATGTACCTAAATAAAAAACAGAGCTTATTAGAGTACGTCTAAAGTTTGTATGTACATTACGGTGGTCGAAAAATGTATGAGGAAAAAGCGAAGTCGGAATTTTTATGCTCGCACCTCCTAGGGTTGTTCTATACGGAAAAAATATATATAAAAACAACTTTTCGTAGAAATAGTATAGACTTCACTGCTTCTTTGCAGGAGATCCGCTACAATAATACCGATTGTTTATTTAACCTTTTTTCATAATAATTATAATTTATAGCTGCGCCAAATACCCCAAAAATGCCAGGGGGGCACCAATTTAAAAATCATTAGTATTAAAAAAATGGTTAAATAAACAATTAGGTATTATTATTGGAAGTCTCCCGAAGAGAACCAGAGTTTCCCGATCGAAAAATATTCATTTTCAAGAACTCCATACCATTTCTACAAAAAGTTTTTTTTTTCCATATAAAATACATGGAAAACTTTGAGCGTGAGCTATATACAGCAACAATGGCGTGAAACTAAAGGCCCGTCCACATACAACTTTGGCGTTGCGTTGGCGCTGGCGTCGCTTTGACAGCGGCGCGCGTAACGCCCGTGCTTGCTACAATGAGCGCTTAGCACAGAATACTTTGGTCACTAAATTAACATACTAGCGGCTGATAAATCAAAATTTTTACATCAATAATTGCATTAAAAACTATATTTCTTGCCCGCATTTGATTAAAAATTAAAATTAAATCACATAATTTTGATTATTTAGAACAGCTGACGAACGACGCGCGCGAAAAGTTGAGAGTTGGCCATCTTTCTGCGTTGTGTTGGCGTTGGCGTTGCCCAACTTTGGTTATATGGAGACTTTCATATAAATACATGTATTCATAGTCAGCTGTCGAAGCGACGCCAACGCCAACGCAACGCCAAAGTTGTATGTAAACGGGCCTTAAACGCTTTTGTCATGTGCTTGACAAAAGGCGAATAATATCAAAATATGTAGATATGTACATACTTACTTACATATCTTGTTCATACAATGCACCTGAATATATGCAAACATAGTAGACATATGTTTGTATGTGCGTACATACCTATGTAAATGTATACGCCTGCACATACATACTAATAACTATTTATTTGAAAATATACATACATATTAACCTAAGGGAAAACGCTTATGAAAACTTAACAAGCCACGGACATTTGCATTGAAAGCAGCAGGTTATGAGTATGCACTTTTGTATGATTACATACACATAAGTATGTACATAAATTGACGTTCGCCATCAAAATATGCACTTTTTTAAACTTTTGTTATATTTAAAAACTATGTACATTTCTTATAACAAATCTTATCCACATTCAGGATAAGCTAAGAGGTACAAGCTGGCGAGTAAATACATATAAACTGCTTCGGATAGGCTCATATTTTCAGAAGCACCGCAAAATAAAAACTTTCGACCTTCCGCTTCTCTGGCAGCGAAGAAGGATGCGGAGCAATTTGTGTGATCGCAGCCCAATCACAGCCCATAGCAGTCACGGAGCAGTCAACTGCCAAGAGGGACCCGCGTTATTCTGGTCCAGTTACGGTGTGGATATTGCTACCTGCTACCTTCTAAACAGATACCTATCCAGACTCGACCCCAATATCCCCAATGAGTGCCCGGCATGCGGAGACTCCCCGCAAGACACAACCATCTCTTCACATGCCAGAAATCTTTTAGCAAAAATTTGAAAGCATGATTTTTTTCATTGATTGGCATATGATTTCCCACATTTTTGCAAAAAAAAAAAATATTCGCCCTTGACGACCGAGGGGTAATTTTTTAATTTGTAGGCTTATTAAAAAATTACATTGCAGAATTTTTTTAATTTTGGTATTAGTGAAGTGAACGCCTAAATTTCGCTATTTACTTATATGAAAAAAACTGTAAAAGCCGTCAGCAAAAAAATTTTATTAAAATTTTTTGGAATTTTTCGAAGTTCTGTATCAAGTTTGAAAGTGTGATTTATAAAGTTTTTGTTAAAGCATGAACCAAACGGATTTTTAGCTTGAAAAATATTGTAAATATTAAAAACGAAACACCATTCATTCCATTTTTGACCGCCACTGTATGTATTTTCTCAACATTGCATTAAATGTCTTTGCATGTCTTGCGTGCTTGCAACGTGCATCTGATAGCGGGCGAGTACAGGCAATTACAATTAACTCAGTTACATCGAAAGTATAATCTTCAGAAACTTGAAAGCATATGTTTTTTTCCAACACAAGTGCATCTGTCTTGAAATAATTTGCAGCAGCAGTATCGCATTGCAAGTCAAGCAGCACGGCTGGTTGCCATTGTTAGGCAATAAATTAAAATATCGGCGGCAAGTCGTTACCACGTCCATATATATACGCATTTACATAGATATATGCATGTATGTACAGTACTGGACATGTCTATAGCACCCCCATTTCAAAGTGATATTGTCGGCCACTTATGTTTAATTATTTATTTTTAAGAGCTTTCAAGTAAAATACAGTTTATTCTCTAATAAAAATCTTATATAAACCCAAGATTAAAGCTTTTTAAAAGACTACGAAGAAATTCAACAAATTTTCATCCAAATTTGGCTGCTTGAAACTTGCACATTAGCAGACTAAAATTGAATGTGCTGAACACAGTTTTATTTAGGTGAAAATTTGTTGCATTTTTTGTAGTTTTCTACAAAATTTTAAACTTGGGTTTATATGGGTTTTGTTAGAGAATGAACTGTATTTGAATTGAAAGTTCCTAAAAATAAATAAAAAAAGTAAGTGCGCCTGGGCCACACTGTAGAAGTGAAACTTACGTTACATATATATCTATACATACACACATCTGCTTTTGCTTAAGGTTATATTTTTTCGCTTTTTTTCTATCAATGTAGATCCCAACCTCTACCACTGTTCGTTTTAATAACATTCATGTTATTCTGTTTTTCCATTATCTTCATTTTTATCATTATACTCAATCGATAACAAAATCGATTATGACGTCCATCAAAATACCGATACCAAAATCGATGTCAAATTCGATAAAAATTTCAATAGCAACATCGATAATACCATTGGTAGCTAAATCGATTAGAAAATCGATAAAAATATCGATAACAAAATCGATAATTATCGATAACAAAATCGATTTATATCGATAACAAAATCGATTTATATCGATAACAAAATCGATAAATATCGATAACAAATTCGATAAATATCGATAACAAAATCGATAAATATCGGTAACAAATTCGGTAAATATAGAACAAGATCGATAAATATCGATAACAAAATCGGATAAATATCGATATTCAAATCGATAACAAAGTTGATGACTATCGCTAACAAAGTCGATAAATATCGATAACAAAATCGATGAATATCGATAACAAAACCGATAAAAATATCGATTATTTTATCGGTAGGCCTCGAGAATACCGAAAGTCTCTAAAATCCAAAAATAGTTCCCAGATTGAGTCTCTGTGTCTCTCTCTATATCCTCTCCTCTTTAATTACCTCTATTTTAATCTTTGTTCCCCTATCTTCATCTTTGCATTTATCGGTATCCTCATCCTCCTCTTTGTCTTTACTTTTATGTTCATCATTTTTTTCAGCTACATATTCCCCTTCACATTTGTTCTTATATACATATATAAGTAAAGTGTTTAGATTTACCTTGGTCTTAATTTTTGCCTTTATCTTTACGCATCTTTGTTTTTGTTGTTATTTTTACCTTTGCCTTTATCCTTTTTTTCATTTATGTTTGTACTCACCTTTACTTTCATTCTTGTATTGGTCCTTTTCTAAGTGTTATTCTTTAACCTTTTGTTAGCAAATTTTTGTTAAATTTATAGATAAGAAGCACTTGTTTCAGCCCCAACCATTTCCGTTGCACCATTTCCGTTGCATCATTTCTGTTGCATCATTTCCGTTGCATATACACAAGAAGTACTTGTTTCAGCCCAAATCATTTCCGTTGCACCATTTCCGTTGCATCACTTC